CAGTTTAAAAACATGTTCTGGATATTTTGAGTCATCAAAACCCGGAGGTTGATAGATATAAACTTCTTCTTCTATGTAACCATTTAAAAATGCACTTTTAACGTCCATTTGATATAATGAGATGTTATGTTGAACAACAAAAGAAATTAATAATCTAATTGATTCTAACCTGGCGACTGGGGAAAAAGTTTCGTTATAATCAATTCCTTCTTGTTGACTATAACCTTGTGCAACCAGTCGTGCCTTGTTTCTAACAACCTCTCCTTTCTCATTTAACTTGTTTCTGAATACCCATTTTCTTCCTATGATATTAAATCCTTTAGGTTTTGGAACTAGATCCCACACATCATTTCTGGAAAATTGATTTAGTTCTTCTTGCATAACTAGGATCCAATCATTATATTGCAGATCTTCCTCTATTGAGGTTGGCTCAATCAGAGAGATCAATCCAAACAATGATTCTTCATTGTTTCTGAGGGAGGATCTTGTTCTGATGGGATCTTCTTTCTTTCCAATAATCATATTTTTTGGATGTGCTGATGTGATTCTGGGGAATCTTTTCTGTGAGGTTTGTTCAGAAATTCTTAGATTGTCCAGAGCATTTGCAATAGAAGGATCTTCTGAGTTGTCCTTTGCTTCTGACTCTTCAGAGTTTGTAAGATGATCTTCTGTACCTGCAGGATTTTCATTCTGCTTTGGCTTTTGCTGGCCAAGCTTATCATCAAATCTGACTTTGATTGATTCTTCAACAATCAGAGTTTCTGTGTTGTATACCCTATAGCCTTTTGAGCGTTCAGAATATCCAAGCAGAAAACACTTTTGTGCCTTAGAATCAAACTTGTTCAAATTATCTTTAGTATTCAAAATATAGCAAGTACATCCAAAAGGATGAAAATATGAAATGTTGGGTTTTCTGTTTTTCCACAATTCATAAGGAGTCTTTTCAAGAATAGGTCTTATAGAGACTCTATTTTGAATATAACATGTTGTGTTCACTGCTTATGCCCAGAAGTGTTTAGCCACATTGGTTTCATTGATCATGGTTCTGGCCATTTCTTGCAAAGTTCTATTCTTTCGTTCTACAACTCCATTTTGTTGGGGAGTTCTATGACAAGAGAAATCATGATAAATACCATTTTCTTTAAAAAAACTTTTCAAAATAATGGTTTTCAAATTCTTCTCCATGATCACTTCTAACTTTTATGATTCTAAACTCTTTTTCATTTTGCACTTGGTTGCAGAAGTCGAAAAACACAAAATGTGACTCATCCTTGTGTTTTAAAAACTTAACCCACGTCCATCTACTGTAGTCATCAACAATGATCAATCCATACTTCTTTCCTCGGATGGATGCAGTTTTAACTTGTCCAAACAGATCAATTTGAAGAACTTCCAACGGTCTAGAGGAAGAAACAACATTTTTTTACTTAAAAGAGGGTTTTTAAAATTTTCCTTTCTGACATGCTTTACACAGAGCTTCTGAGTTGAACTTCAGATTGGGAAGTCCCCTGACCAGATTGAGTTTGTTAATTTGAGATATTCTTCTCATGCTAACATGTCCCAATCTTCTGTGCCAGACCCATTGCGCATCGCTAACAGACATAAGGCATTTTACATTCTGAGTTATAAGGTCAAAAAGATCAATTTTATAGATGTTGTTCTTTCTCTTGCCAGTAAAAAGGATTGTTCCATCTTTTTGACTAATAGCTCTACAGGATTTTTGATTAAAGATTATTTCAAACCCGTTGTCACTTAATTGACTTATGTGCAGCAAGTTATACGCTAATCCTTCTACCAACAGAATATTAGTTATAGAAGGAAGGTTACCGTTTCTAATGGTTCCAGAACGAATAATATTTCCTTTCTGATTTCCTCCAAATTTGACATCTCCAGATTTAAGTTCCAGACTTTGGAACATAGACTTTCTTCCTATCATATGTCGTGAGCATCCAGAGTCTAGGTACCATGACTGGTGTTTCAACTGTGCTGTTAAGGACATATCTTTCGGTTCTGAATCAGAGTTTGAGTCATCGTTATCTGTTGTGGTAGCCATAAACACTAGGTTAGCATGCTCATCTTCTGAGCCAGATTCAGCTTCAGAAGATTCTGAATCATCCCAGGTGGCCATCATGCCTTTATTCTTCCAAACCTTTTCTTTGGTCTTTCTCTTTGTAGCTTAGGACAATCACTTCTGTAGTGTCCTGGTTCTTTATATTCATAGCAGACTATATCTCTTCTGCTTGACTTCTTATGTCCAGAAGATTCTGGTTTATCTTCTGACCTCTTGTAGTTTCTGAACTTCTTTTGTCTGTGCTTCCACATCTGGTTGATCCTTCTGGAGAGCAGAGATAACTCATCTTCTTCTGATGCAGAGTCTTCAGAGTTTCCTTCTTCTGCCTGAAAAGCGTTAGTTTCACATTTTTTAATAGATTTAAGGGCGACAGACTTACCTTTCTTATGAGGCTCATGTTCATCAAGTTCTATCTTGTGACTTCTTAATGCACTGATAAGTTCTTCAAGAGATACATCATTCAAATCTTTTGACACTTTGAATGCAGTAACCATAGGTGTCCATCTTCTGGGTAAACTTCTGATAATTTTCTTGACATGGTATGCCTTGGTGTATCCTTTGTTCATAACTTTCAGGCCAGCGGTCAGAGTTTGGAATCTTGAGAACATAGCTTCAAGGGACTCATTTTCTTCCATTTTAAAGGCTTCATACTTCTGGATGAGAACCAGAGCTTTTGTCTCTTTTACTTGAGCATTTCCTTCATGAGTCATTTTGAGAGACTCAAACATGCCATGTGATGTATCTCTGTCGGTGATTTTCTCATATTCCGTTTTAGAGATAGCGCTCAGAAAGATATTTCTGGCTCTCTGGTGATTTTTGAAATCTAATTTATGTTGTTTATCCATGTTCTTTCTATCAATCTTGTTTTTGTCTTTGCCTTCTGGATGTGTGTAACCATCTAGGACCATATCCCATAAATCATCATCATGACCTAGAAAGAAACTTTCTAGTATATCCTTCCAGTATTCAAAGTCTTCTCCATCAAACACGGGAGGTTTGGTGCAGTTGTTGTTGTTTTGTTCAGTTGCCATAGTGTTTTCCTTCTAGATCTTTTTCTGACACTGTTAGGTGTTTACACCCAGAACCAGGCTCTGATACCAATTGAAGGGTGAGAAAACACTTAGAAGGGAGGGGGGGTTGAATAAGTTTTTGCTTTTTCTCGCGCAATAATAATGGAAGGACACAGGTAATTTTATCCTGGTTCGTTTGAAACTCAAACTACTCCAGTCCACCCGCCAAGGTGATTTCGCCTCTCTCAACGAGTACTTAATCCACTATAATCAAAACTGATTACAAATGCACAACCAAACTGTTATGACTAACAATATAATGCACAAGTCAACTGCAATTGACTAACACCTCTAAGTCTCAACTAGTCCTAGCCCTCTTGAGAAATCTGACCCAACTGGTCTGTCAAGGAACAATTACAAAGATTATCTCTTAACAGTAGTAAATCAGAATGCTTCTAATAAGCTATATCACAAACTGTGATTTATCACTAAGATTTTAGCCCAACACTTAAGAATTACCCATTATATACAAAGAGTTTACAAGAATGAAAATAGTGAACTTCAGTATATTTTGCGTGGATCAGTAACATTGCTTTGAAACAAATGGTCTTCTATATATAGCTTCAAATTTTGACCGTTACTGCCTTGAAGAGAGAGTGTGTATTAATGATGTGTGTTAGCTTGACCTTTATGTTTCCAATACTCTCGTGCGTAGTACCACTTGAGTGTGTTAGCTGTCTTAGTATTAAATGATCAACGGTATTGTCAGAGCTTGTCTCTGGAAGTTTAAGAGTTTGCTTGCAGCGTTACAACATCCGAGTTTGCTTTAACTTTTCTTCTATCAAAATTTGCTATATCACTTCTTCTGTCAGAGTTTTCTTCATTTTATGTTCATCAGAGTTTGCTTCAGCTTGCATTATCAGATATTGCTTTCAGTGTGCTTCTTTCAAATCTTTGCTTCAGCTAGCTTTATCAGAAGTTGCTTAAGATTACTTTTTATCAAAGTTTTCCTTGGAGTGCTTCCTTCAGAGTTTGCTTTAGACTTGCATTTACATAAAATTTCTTAGGAACTTCTTTATCCTTTTTCTGCTCAGCGTAGAATGATGTTTCACTTTCGAGAATGCTTGAGTCAGAACATCATTTGAATTAGAAAACATGCACATCAGAGTATAAAATATATTATACAAAATTTATTTCATTGTTATCATCAAAACTCTAAGATATGATTAGAACCAAACTTTATTCTAACAGGAACAACGCTAAAACCAGAAGTAGTCGACAAACACACATGGTTTCTTGCAATTTCTAAAGTTTTCACAGGTAATTCTTATTACAAGTTGATAGCAAATGAAATGCAAGTGGTGGAAATAGAATCTGATATGAGAAGAGTTTTGAGAGGATTGTGGAAAACAAAAGTTCCAACTAAAATTTAGACTTTTTGTTGGAGACTATTCTTGAATAGGATTTTCACATGGGAAAAACTCTAACAAGTGTTGTAGGATATTATCTAATGTTTCTTACACTATATCATATATTATTATTATTATTATTATTATTATTATTATTATTATTATTATTATTATTATTATTATTATTATTATTATTATTATTAAATAAGCTATTTCCTATAAATTTTTCAATTTTCATAATCTTGTTTTATAAGAACAAAACTATATTAAACATGCACAAGTTTAAAATGTCAAACTTTTTCAATAACAAAGCCAGAAAATTAAAGTCTATGTTTAAACAACAAAACATGAGTAGATCCAACAAAACAAACTCAAATTTGGCCTACACAAAATTAGGCAAATAAGTTCAAGTAACCAAAACCAATATTATTGAGGTTTTCATTATTCAATAAAATCAAAGCAAAAATCGCCACTAAACCCACTTAGAGCTTAAGATCCAAGTTCAACTCTTCATGCACCAACACCAATATCCTTAGAACTTGAAGCCACATTTTTGTCTAGAAATTGTGGTATTATGATTGAGGAATTATATTGTCTACCTCCACCTAATTGCAAGTAACAATTTTCTGAGTTCAGAAAGCCTTAGTCGAAAAATACAAATTGACATTTGAAGATTTATTTACTTTAAATCGTTTCAATCATCTAATGAAATTTATAAACGGAATAATTTAAATTGATATGCAATTTCAACACTTTTAACCCTAGGTTTCAAATTGCATGAATTTTGATGTTGTTCAATCATTAATTTTTTGAATTATCAAATTCGTTAAGTGCTGAATAATGTGATTTACCCGGAAGAGTGTGACGGAACCTTGCATGCGCAATGCTTTTCTGTTTTCCAACTTGAGGTATTCCACTTGGTGCTCCTAATGGTGTCTTTTTGGGTAAAGATTCCAAATGAAATCGTTGAAGGCAAGTAACACTTATGTCTTCAAAAACTTTATTTGCAAGACTATGTAAAGCTTCAGCCTGAAATAAATTATGTTCAACATAGCAGTATACATTATAAGTAAATAATAACTCTTTTGAAATATTAAATTAGATTTGGTAAAATATTAGATTAGATTTTATTAGATTTAATATTTAAATATAATCTAAGTTGTGTTAGCTCAAACTCAATTAAGATTGTATATAAATAGTGATAGTGTGTATCATTATTCGAACAATTCAATAATATAAATCCTTATTTTCTTTATTATTCTCTCTTTCTCTCGTCACTAAAAGTGCCTCATGCAGTAACAAATTGGTATCCAGAGTTTCCGATTATTGTTCTTGATCAAGTTTTCAAGAATTTCACGTCAGAGATCGTGTTTCTAGGACAAGTGAATCAACTGCTACGAAGATGGATAGTGATAAGGGTATTTTGAATTCTCTTCCAATGCTTGACAGAAAAAATTAGATCTGATGGAAAAAACAGATGCAATCCTTGTTTGGCTTCCATGACACCCTAGAAGTGGTTACCGATGGTGTTCCTGCGTTGGCTGTAAATGCAACCGACGAACAGAAAAAAGCCCACAACAAAGTCAGGAAGAAATATGCAAGGCTGCTTATTGCATTCAAACGACTGTCGATGCTGCTAATTTTGACATAATCTCTCATGCTGAAACGGCGAAGGAGGCATGGGATATTCTAGTGAAGTATTACGGAGGAGGTGAGAAAGTCAAGGTTGTCAAATTACAAACCTTGCATCGACAATATGAGTTGTTATCGACGAGACAAGATGAAAAAGTTGCAGAATATGTGTCAAAGGTTCAGAAACTCGTCCATCTCATGAAGAGTTGCGGTGAAACAATTACTGATAAGATGATAGTTGAGAAGGTAACGAGAACGTTGACCTCTTACTTTGATCATGTTATCGTAGCTATTCAAGAATCTAACAATCTTGAAACCACTAAAGTGGAAGATTTGGTTGGTTCGTTGGAGGCGCATGAGATGAGGATTATCGAAAGGAAAGGAGTTCAGGACTCGATACAGGCACTGCAAGCTCAGTCATGGAAAAAGGATGATGGTTCCAACAAAATCAAAGGCAAGTTTGATAAGACTCACGGCAAGAAGTCTTGGTCAAATCCCCATAAGAATAAGGTCGAAGATAGATCTTCTAAATCCTCGAAAAGGGGATGAGGAAACTATCGAAAGGATAAAGAAGATAAGAAAAGTATGCAATGTTATAACTGTGAAAATGGGGACACTTGACCAAGAATTGTTGGTACAGAAAAGATAAGGGATCGACAGGCAAGAACGAAGGAGAGAACCTTGCACGCCAAGATTCAGATGATTCTGAAGGTGGTATGGTGGTTATGGCTGCAGTTGCAGATAACCATGTCAAATCCAAGATCTGGTTTCTCAACTCGGGCTGCTCGAACCACATGACTGGTCGAAAGGAGTGGTTGGCAGATTTTGACGAGTCGAAGAAGAGCAAGGTAAAACTTGCTGATAATAGTTCGTTACAAGCAGAAGGTACTGGAAACATAGTCTTTCAAATGAGTAATGGAGGGAAATATATGATCAAAGATGTGCTCTATGTACCTAGAATAAAATGCAATTTGCTAAGTGTTGGATAACTAGTCGAAAAAGGTTTCTCAATTGTCATGAAAGATGGAGTTTTGAAATTGTTCGACACCGAGAACAATTTGGTCTTAAAATCTCCATTATTGAAGAATAGGACATTTAAGACTATGATCAGTTTGACAGAAATTCAATGTTTGAAAACTGTTGTCGACCACGAGGATAGTTGATTGTGGCATTTGAGGTTTGGACATTTGAATTTTTTTATCACTTATCAACTGATTACTCAAGATATGGTTATTGGTATTCCAAGCCTTGAGATGCCTGAAAAACTATTGAAGGTTGTTTAGTGGGAAAGCAATCAAGAAATTCTTTCATTTCGACTATGTCAATGAGATCATCCTGCATTCTCAAAGTGGTGTATTCAGATGTATGTGGTCCATTCGAAGAACATACAATTGGTGGAAACATATATTTTGTTTTGTTTGTCGGTGAGTTTAGTCAAAAGTTGTGGATCTATGTGATCAAACGAAATGACAAAGTATTCGAAATCTTTAAGAGATTCAAGATACTTGTCGAAAACCAGAGTGAGAAGAAGATCAAAGTTCTGTGAACAGATGAAGGTGGCGAATACACATCCAAGATGTTTGAAGATTTCTGTGCAGAACATGGTGTTGATCATGAGGTAACTGCTCCTTATACACCTCAACATAATGGAATTGTTGAAAGAAGAAACAGGACCATATTAGATATGGCGAGATGCATGCTGAAGCAAAAGAATTTTCCAAAGTCTTTATGGGGAGAAGCTGTTTCGGCTGCAGTTTATATTTTGAATAGGTGTCCTACTAAGATATTGAAGAACAAGGTTCCTGAAGAAGTGTGGAGTGGCAAACGACCATCAGTAAGTCATTTGAAGGTGTTTGACTCTATGTGTTACAAGCATGTTCCTGATGCTAGAGAAGGAAGCTTGATGACAAGAGTGAACCTATGATTCTGGTAGGATATCATAAAACTGGTGCATACAGACTATTCAATCCAGTTAGTGAGAAGATTGTGTTGAGTCGGGATATTGTGATTAATGAAAATTCTGCCTGGGATTGGAATTCTAGCAATTCAATTAACAATCCACTAATGAACTTTTATTTCGATGAAGAAACTGATGAAGTAGAGGTCGAAGGAATTGTTTAGAATCCAGTCGAAGTCAAAGAAGAAGCAGTTGCTGACAATCCCGACACAGTCGAAGTCGAAGAGGTTGTGGATGAAACAAGCCAAAGACCTCAAAGAAAAGAGTTCTTCCAACAAGACTTCATGATTATGAAGTGGTGGTGATGATGAAATCACACCAGATGGAGAATTAGTTCATTTTGCTTTACTTGCAGGTGCTGAATCAATCAACTATAGCGAAGCTTTTAAGATTAACAAGTGGAAGTTAGCTATGGTTGAAGAGTTACAGACAATCGAAAGAAACAACATATGGGAGTTAGTTGAATTTCCAGCACACACAAACGATATCAAAGTAAAGTGGGTGTTCAAGTTGAAATACAATGCAGATGGATCAATAGTAAGACATAAAGCAAGATTAGTAGCTCGAGGTTTTCTTCCAAGAGAAGGACTCGAATACTCTGAAGTATTTTCTCTAGTAGCAAGATTAGAGACTGTTTGACTAGTGGTAGCATTGGCATGCAATCAAGGCTGGTCAACATTCCATCTAGATGTGAAATCAACATTTCTGAATGGTCCTTTAGATGAAGAAGTTTATGTCACACAACCTCTTGGTTTTATGATTCAGAAGGAAGCGAGTAAAGTATATAGATTGCACAAAGCGCTCTATGGCCTCAGAAGGCACCTAGGGCATGTAACAAGAAGATCGACTCATACTTAGTCGAATTGGGATTTGTCAAATGCAAATCAGAGTATGGTGTCTATGTTCAGGTTGTATCACAAGATATAACAATCATATTCTTGTATGTTGATGACTTGCTAGTAACTGGAAATAGTTTAGAGAACTTGTCGAAGTTCAAAGAGCTGATGACGAAGGAATTTGAAATGTCGGATCTAGGAAAATTGTCTTATTTTCTAGGCATGAAATTTCAAATGTCGAAGCAAGGTATGATGCTACATCAAAGAAAGTATGTCAAAGAGATACTCAAGAGATTCAGAATAGATGATTCGAATCCTGCATCCTCACCTGTCGAACCAAATGTGAAGTTGGAGAAGAATGGAGAGGAAGACAAAGTCGATGTAACTTTATTCAAGAAAATTGTGTGATCTCTGAGGTATGTGTGCAACAGTCGACCTAATATAGGTTTTGCAGTTGGATTAGTAAGCAGATATATGGATGAACCAAGAGTGTCACATATGAAGGCTGCAAGAAGAATCCTGAGATATTTAAGGGTTCAATAAATTATGGAATACTATTTCGACGAGATTCTGAAGGCAAAAAAGCAATTGTTTTTCAGATGTTGATTGGTGTGGAGATAAGCACTACGCCAAAAATAAGTTTTAGCAGCACACATACGAAAGCGCTTTTAGGAAAAAGCGCTGCTGTAGGTTTTAAAAAAAATTCGCTTAAAAAAAGCGCTTTCAAAGGGTGCCTTAAGAAAGCGCTTTTCAAAAGCGCTGCTAAAGGTCACCCTTAGAAAGCGCTTTTTGAGAAGCGCTGCTAAAGGGTGCCTTTCAGAGGGTACCTTAAGAAAGCACTTTTCAAAAGCGCTGCTAAAGGTTAGCCTTAGAAAGCGCTTTTACAAAGCGCTGCTAAAGCTGGCCTTTAGAAAGCGCTTTTAAAAGCGCTGCTATAGGATATGCTACGAAAGCGCTTTTACATTAAAAAGCGCTGTTATAGGTGACCTTTAGAAAGCGCTTTTAAAAGCGCTTTCGTAGGTAGTTTTATAATAATTATCAAAAATTCGTATCATCACTTTTCTATTGTTCTTCACGAAATCATCAAAGCCCTAAACCAGAGCTCTGCCGCCGTTAGCATCTACGAGCAGATTTTCGTCACGATAACCACTTGCCACCGTCTTCTTGTTCAGGACCTCTGCCTCCGTTCATCAGGACCTCTGCCTCTGTCTTCTTGTTCAGGACCACCGGGGGCAGTTTCAGGACTCCCTCATCAGGACCTCCGCCTCCGTTCATCAGTACTCTTTCATCAGAACAACGGCCACCACTTGCCACAGGAGAAACGCAAGGTGAAATCACAAAGTTTGCTGCATCAGAAATCACAACAATATACAACACAAAGTTACACAACTCAGCTCTAGGTATTTCAATTTCTAGTATAGTTTTGTATGAATAAATTGTTCTATGCTTACTTTGATTCTAATTTCTAGAATAGTTTTGTATGAATAAAGATGTGACTATCTTCTAATAATTCTTAGAAATTGTTACATATTTGAACTGACAACTCATCTTAATTTTCAACTTATTTGTGTGGCTACTGGCTAATACCTCACATATTATGAATATAGATTATTTTTACAACTTCTATGGAATAAATATTAGTAGAAAACAACATATTTTCATGTGCTTTTTATTTTATCAAACATCATTTATATTAACAAGTTGTGCATTGGTAAAACAAGCTAAGAGAGAAATAATAGAGAGCGTAACAAAATATTTAATAAAGTTAGCCATATATATATTGTTAACTCTATTAATATATTGTTTTTTTCGTGTGCTTTTTATGATTGATTTTGAGCAATGATAGTTTCTTGTTTATGGTTTCTTGTGTTATACTTGTGTACTAAAGTAGTTGATAGAATAAAATGAATTTAGTGAAAAGTATTGAGTATTGGTTTTGTTATATGGTTGTGCAAGAGCAAGTGCAAGTTTTGAGTATTGGTTTTGTTTTCTAATTTATCATTTAGCTCAGATTGACTCAGAAACCGTAAACCATGGATAAGACATGGATGTATTCCAATCGATTGTCGAAAGAGTACGAGAACGGGGTATCAGAATTCGTTAAGTTTGCTGTTGCGCATGCCGAAGACCCCGGTCGAATGACATGTCCTTGTTTGTGTTGCTGTTATGGGAATCGGGTTGACACGGTTCAGTTGGCATCGCATTTAATACGGTATGGAATTGATAGAAGTTATACATGTTGGAATATGCATGGTGAGAAAAGTGATGGGAATGATGAATCGGGGGATAATAGGATGTATGTTTCGAACGACAATGGCATAGATACATACGATTATGATCGAGTTGAAGAGATTGCAGAAGCGCTTGAAGAAGATCTTAATGATTGTCCCAAAATGTTCGAGAGGTTGGTAAGCGATGCAGAGAAACTGTTGTATAATGGTTGTACAAAATTCACAAGATTGTCTGCGGTATTAAAGTTGTACAAC